CCTCCACAACCAAGCTGGTCATTCCAAACCTCCACAATCAAGAAAGTCAATCCACATCTCAACCAAGCTGGTCAACCCAAATCTCCACAACCAAGACAGTCATTCCAAACCTCCACAACCAAGATGGTCATTCCAAACCTCAACCAAGCTGGTCCAACCAAGCTTGGTCATTCCAAACCTCAACGAAACCTCCACAACCAATCTGAGCATTCCAAACCACCACAACCAGGTTGGTCAACCCAAACCTCTACAACCAAGACAGTCATTCCAAATTTCCACAATCGAGACAGTCATTCCAAATCTCCACAGCCAAGCTGAGCATTCCAAACCTTCACACCCAAGCTGGTCATTCCAAACCTCCACAACCAAGCTGGTCATTCCAAACCTCCACAACCAAGACGGTCATTCCAAACCCGCACATCTGGTTCCAGAACTGTTTCTTACCTGTTGTTGACCCCATGGTGCAACAGGGTGAGGTTGGTCAAACCAGGGTGGTTTATTTGGGGGAATCTGATCATGAGATCCAGGCCCACGAGGTCCTCCCGAGGCAGGATCCTGCACTCCAGACCCGGTTGTGTCATATTCTGTAGAACCAGCCAGAGGCAGCTGAGATTTGCCATCATCTGAAACAATTTGGAGACTACTATAAGCATCAAATCACATGTAGTTAATAAAACAACAGCACACCTACATCAGGCTCCAGCTGAATTTATTCTGCAGAAATCTGTTACTGGGAGAGAGGATTTCTGATCCATTTAACATTCATCTCTTTGTGGTTTTTTTTTTACATTCAATCATCAGACTGAAACCTGCTGCAAGGCTCCAAACAGATTCAGGTTTTCCCCTGAACCAAACCAGCCCAGCACAGTGCCTCACTACCACGAAAGGAGCAAAAAAAATCCATCTCCCAAGATTGTCACCCCCTGATTTCTGATCCCAGATCTGGGCAGTACCTGCTTGTGAAACTGGAGCAGACGGTGGAGCCGAGGCTGGGGCTGCTGGGGGGGCTTGAGGGGGAGGGGTTGATTTCACCTCGTTCTCTAGGGGGGGGATTTGGATCTGTTGTTGCTGCTGCTGCTGCTGCGTCAAACTGTTCACAAACTCTTCATGCTGAGTTTTCAGGTTCTGGATCTGCTGCTGGAAGGCCACTTGCACAGGCTGCACAACCGTTGCATATTCAGTGATCAAATTTGCCTGACAGAACGAAAGAAATGAAGAACAAGTGAACTCTGCACCTGTAATACTTGCCCTATCTGCCCCTTCAGAATTCCCTACACTGATCTTCACCCTCTCTCCCAGAAAAAGTCTGAGGATGCAGGATAATGTTGGCAGAACCACCCAGCCTCACTAGGGAGCTTTGTGGAGTTTTCCAAAATATTCTCTGCAGGTTGGAACCCACCACTCTTATTAGTGCCTTTCCAATACAGCTCAAATCAACAGCATGCATTGTTAATAATAAAAACGAACAGTTCCTGCTGCCACAACAGTTTTTATACTCAATACATCCAATTTAAAGCTGTGATTTCTTGTTTCTTTTGACCAAACATTCATTTCCATGAATTGTCACGTATGTACAGGACTGTATCAGTCTGTATCCTGCATCCAGCACCTGGATTATTGAATGTCTGAAATAACAAGGTTGCATTTTACATTATTTTTGTTAATCCCTTGTAAACAACTTCAAGGGGGTCAGGAAATGAATTTTTCCTTTTGAAAGGTTTAACATTTCCTAAATTTGTTTTATATATATATATAAAAATAATAAAACTGTTATTTTTGTGGCTAACCTGGTACTGGCCAAGTCCAAGAGCTGGGCTCTGTAACTGCTGAATAATGGACTCATCAAAGTACCCATTTTTCTCCCACAGTTGAAGAAGCTGCATAAATTCAAGAGTGAAAGGTTTTTAGAAATTATGAACAAAGAAAAACTGAGGTACAGCATTTTTAAGTCTCCAGCTTTTCATAAGATCTAGGATTTCAGCATTTATTTTTGAACCACTGAAGATTCAGATCCATTCATCACCATTATAATTTCCAAATAAAGCTTAGGTACTTTTAAGTTCTAGTTTAAACAATCAGATCAGAAGAAAAATCTCAGTGGTCTTCTCCCATCCCCCTATTTGTGAATTTGCACAGCACCAACCTAACAAAGCAAAACTCACAGTCAAACCAAACCCAGATACTCACTCTGGCAATTTTCTGTTGCTTATCCTCCTCCACTGCTAGAAAACTGGTGCAATAAATAGGCACAACCACCTTCTGCAAAGCAGCCAGAAGATCTCGTGCTTGCTTCCGTTGGCTTCAAGAAAGCAGTGGGAAGAGTTACCTTTTCCACTCTAACAGAGTGCATTGGAATATTCAAATCATCTCAACTTCTGCTATACTAAAAGTAGTGGATGCATAAAATACAGAGTTCTCTCCTTTATATTTTTACAGTAAAGTCCAGTCTGGAGGAAAAATACACAAAGTAGGTGAAAGCTAAATCTGATCACTAAAGCACTGGGTCTTCGTGCCAGCTGGGGGCATCTTAAGATGTACAATTAAGATAATTAATTAAGGTGGTATCCACAAGAGAGACTTCACCAAATTAATCAGAACCTCCCAGTTAATTCTCACCAGTGATGCAGAACATCATTGATCAGGTAGATGAGGTGCAGCCGCAGCTCAAAGTGAGCTCCCTCTGCTGTGATCCGGTTCCGCAGGTGCCCGGCCATCAGCTCACAGTGGGCAGGAGACTTGGCATTGCTGAACATCCAGTTCTTGCCAGCCTTGGAAAAGCAAATTTTAAATGTTTCCAGTCAGCCTAATGCGTTCACATCACCTGGGCTTCCTACAGCTCTGAAACAACTGCGAGAAGGGCAGTTTTCGGGTAATGGCTTTCACCTCACCTGCCACACAGCACAGCAACAAAGCTGCTCTCAACTGTGCAATCTCAGAATTAAAGGAGCCCACAGCCCCCCCAAATCCCTGGGCAGGTTCAGGTCACTTACTGAGATTGCATCTTTTGTACAAGTGTCAATTATTGGCTGCAACAAGTTGTCAAACTCGTTCATATCTAACTGGGTTTCCTCCAAAACCTTTTGCATTTGTTGCTCGATTGCAAGGGCTACTGCTGATGTGACTTGTTCCTGAAAAAAAAACAGAAGAAAAAAAACCCCTACATTATATCCAACATTCTTGTAAAGAATGACTCTGCTGTGTCCCTGTTTTCTTGGACATAAGTAACTATCTTGAAGAACAAATCATATGACCACATAAAAATGTTTCTACTATTTGGTTTGGAGAAAAAAAGACTCTCCACATTCTTCAGGAAAAGTCCAGTTCATTTCCACCTCTAAAATCTATCATGGAATAAAAAATAATTGCAGGAAGCTCCTAAATGTAAGGAACTTAACAAAGGCACAAGAACTCTTCAGTTTGGTTCCCAACAGCTTTAACAGCAAAACAACTCCTGCAAAAACCAACTAGTTGATTGCACACAGTTCCCTTCCAACCCTAATCAGATCCAGCTTGGAATACTATACACTGGAATGTCTTGCAAATCCCAGCAACTTGCAGCATTAACCCAAGATTAAAGCAGAATAAGTTGTGACTGCTTTAAAACCAACAAGGTTTTTCACAGAGTAAATAAAATGGTTTTAATCACAGATCAGTCTCCCCAGCACAACCTGCACATCAGATACATCCATTCTAGGAAGATGATGGCATTTGCCACAGAACAAAACTAAGGAAAGCAAGATTTCCTCTCCTTTCAGCCACCACCACTAGCAGGAAAACCTCCTCTGCCCTTTCATTCCTCATTTATACAGCCACTGGCAGCCCGGGATACCCCAGGTGAGTGTTTCTCTCAAACCAACCTGTCTCATAGCGAGGAGGTGCTGCTCCTGCTGCTGCAGGTTCCACTGACTCTGCTGGATGAGCTCCTCCACGGAAGGGGTACCCTGGGGGGCCGGGATGGGCGCAGCCGGTGGCAGCGAGGGCTGGGGCAGGGGCTGGATCTGGGCAGAAGCCTCGATGTCCTGGCTTTGCTTGCACAGCACTATCAGACAGAGTTAACGCGGAAAGTAAACCTCCCGGAGAGCCCTGCCCTGCCACCGCCGGCCCGCAGGGGACACGGGGCTGGCTCCGAACCGACCCTCCCTCGGAGGGTCTCCAGAACGGCTGGGACAAGGCTCCCAGGCACAGGGTGGGATTGCTGGGGTGTCCTGTGCAGGGCCAGAGTTGGGTTCCATGATCCCGATGGGTCCCTTCCAGCTCAGGGTATTCTTTGATTAACGCAAATTCGCGGGCGGATGGTGCCAAAGAGGAGAGTCACCAACTCCCCGTGCGCTTCCAGAGGGGCAACTCCAGCACGAGCGCAGAGCCGGCGCTGCTGGGCTGGCCCCCCGTGTCCGGGAGGGCTGTCCCGGCGCTGAGCTCCGTCTCCCCGCTCCCCCTGCCCGTCCCCAAACCCGCCCGGAGCCCCGCGGGGCAGAAGCGTCTCGGCGGGCCGGGCCCGGGCTGAGCTGGGGGGGCCGGGCCCCGACCCGCCGGCCCTGCCCGAGCCGCGGGCCCCACTCACGCTGCTGCTGCTCCAGCGCCAGCTTGTACTTGTAGTAGCCGTAGAAGTCGCCGCCGAAGAGGAAGGAGAACTTGGGGTTCTCCTTCTGCTTCTCCATCGTCATCTTCTCGAACTCGGGCCCGTTCCGCGCCACGAACTGCGCCAGCTTGTCGATGACATTCCGCAGCTCCTGATCTGTGTGGGGAGGCGGCGCCGTCAGGCCCCGGTCCCTCCCGGTGCCCCCGTTGTGCCCCCGGACCCCCCCGCTCCCCCCCGCTCCCGGTCCCCCCTCACCCTCGGGCGGTAGCGGCATCTCCATGGCCGCGGGTCCCGGGGTCGCTGGGCCGCGCCGCACCGACGGGAGTGCGACACCCGCGCGGCCGCGCTTTACGGCCGCGTCGCTGTGGAAACGGCGCGCGGCGCAGGTCACGTGGCTCCCCCTCCCGCCCTGCCCGTCCCTGAGGCGGGACCGGCGTGAGGGGAGGGAAGAACAATTCTGAGGAAATAAGGGATAAAGAGGCGGTTCCGCTGCTCGAGCGAGAGTTAGAACAGAGTGGAGTGCTGCTGGGGAGGTGCCTGACGCGCTGCAGGTCAAAAGTCTGCATTATTAGTTATTTAAACAGATAACTGGGGTTGAACAACGCCTCGAGATTTAGTCGAATTAATTTTTGATGTTAAAATTTAAATTTTCCGAATCAATCTTAATTTTTTAATGTTAAAATTTTGATTTTCAAACTAATTTTAAATTTTTGTTCTTTTTATCTTAAAAATTCGATTTTCGAATCGATTTTAACTTTTTATTTTTTTTAAATTTTAAAATTCTTAATTTTGGGGTTAATGTTAACATTTTAATTTTTGGATTAATTTAAAATTTTTATTTTAAATTTTTATCGTTGATTTAAATTTTTAAATTTTCAAATTTTTAAATTTCTAGTCAAATTAATTTTTAATTTTAGTCTAATTAATTATATTTTTTTTGGCGTCCCATTGGAACCTTAATTTCGACCCACAGAAAGGTGCCACTGTGATCAAAGCCAGTAAAACAAACCCAGTGTACTACATCCCTGTGGGCTCTGATTTCTCAGGTGGGCACCTAAAATTTGGGGGGGGATTAAAACTGAGGGGGATTAAAATGCAGAATAATTCCGCATTATTCACTCTGAAAATGAGATAACACCTCATCTCACAAGGGAGACGTGAAGAGATTTCTCAGCACTCTTGAACCACCCCAGAAAACAACCCCCTAAATATGGATTTTTCAGAGCACGAGGCATCTGAGGCACTGATAAAGCATCAACAGCCTGGTAATAACCTGACTTTTAGTTTGGCTGTTACCTAAGCAGGGATTTTTATAAGTAAATTCTGTTGTCAGATATAAAGATAGAGGCATTTTTTACCCTTTTCATTGACAGATCTTTACACTCCTCTCCCCCTCAGCTCCCTGGTACCTGCAGAGCTGCAGACGTGCCTCCTCTGCTCTGGAACCACCACCTCCAAGATGCAACTCAAGTTGCCAGAAATTAATAAATGGCATTAAAAGAATGGACAGAATTAAAACCAAGCATGTAATTTAGCACTGATTCCCCTTGGGGGACAAGCCAGAGCACTCAAGCTCCACAGATACCACAGGAATGATGGAAAAAGGAACACGGATGTGTGGGAAGCTCAGTGGAGAGCAAACTGAACCGAAAATACAGCTGGTAAGGAATGAAAGTGCAGATGCTACACAAGGACATTAAACAGGCACTTGTTGCTGTTAAGTGACTTCATTTCTTAATGTAGTTAAAGCAAAAATGTTCATTTCTGGCCCTTAACTTTCCTTTTGCACCTGAAAGGGTGCAAGGGAAGTTCCCTGTTGTTTTTCCATGTGGGATTAAAAATACACCACATTTACATACCTGTGGGATTCAGGACACCATTCCTTCAAAAGCAAGGTGCTGAGGGATCACTTTTACATCCAAGCCAAAGGGTCCAAGGCACGGCAGAAATGGCTCAACTTCTCCACTTCCACGATTCAAAAAACCCCCACAACCCCCCCCCACACCTGAGGACCATTTCCTAGACATGAGAACTCAAAGCAGGGCCCAAATAATTTGGTGTCCTTTGATATTTTAGGTAAAACTGAATCTACAAGTGGATCACCTTGGAATCACCCAAGGCCAAAAGCCAAACTCAATATCCAACGTGGATCTGGAGCTGGAATCACTGTCTTCTTCAGTCTCAGGCATTAAATTCACTCCACAGGATTTCCCATCACACAGAGGACACTCAGACTTCCTCACAAAGAGGCAGAACTGTTTATTATTAACAAGACAGACCATGAAGACCCCACTGTATCATCTACAGATATAAAACCTCGGGAGGATGGATGTTCCCATGTATCCAAATTACAAACGAAAAAAAAAGCATCATAATACGGACTCAGCCCATGATTCCGAGTCACTCTGCAGTCCTGGAGATTCACAGACCCCAGAAGACCAGATTAAGTTCAAATTTTGGCTTATGTAAGTTTTCCTGCTGCCACCTTCCATCCCAACACCAACATTCCTGATTTTCCATCAGAGCCTGCTCGGACACCCTTCAGCTGCCACATTCCTCAGCTTATCCCCAAAATGCCCCAAAAGCTGCAGAGGTGTCTGCCAAAAACCTGCACACCTGGTTTAAGGCAGGAAGGAGTCCCAGTACCTGGAAGTCCCCAGTGGGGTTATTCCCGTCGTGGAATCCCTTGTATCCCATATGGGATCCCAGCAGTATCCACAGGGAGCTTCTGGCCCAGTGACATCCAGAACTCCACAGGACAGGAGTTGAAGAACAGGAAAACAACACCAAAGTGTTCATTTGCTGAAGGGCAGGATTTCACCCAGAAAGGAGTGTGGGGGTGGTTGGGAGGCTTTTTTTGTAAACCCACCCATATTCACATCAATTTTTGGAGTTCTAATATAAAAAAGCAATAAAAAGGGCCTTTTTTTATTTTTTTTTTTTTCAGTGAGTGCCACCTGTCACTTCAGGGTCACCAGATTTGTTTCACTGGCCTGGGCCATCACCACAAAGAGCTCTCGATTTTGTTTTTAACAGCTCCACAACACGGCTCAGAAATTCAAGCTTTGGAAAAACAGAACTTCCCCTTTATTTATATTGCACCTGTTTCACAAAGAGCTACGTGGCAGAAGTTCCTTCTGCTGCAAAAATGCTACATCAGAAAAATGTGGGTTTGGACACAGAGTAGAAAGGAAAGCTCTTGATTTTCAGGAATCATCAGGAGTTGACCCCAAATTACTGGTACTATTTTTATAAATCACTCTACACCTACAAGTCCTAAGTATTGCCTCAATTTTATTCAGCATCCAGTTCTTTAAAAACCACCAGCATTTTACCAGATGATAAAGATGCTCTAACCACTACTGGGTACTAAAATTGAATCTGCAAGGGAAATATTTTGAAGATCTCTTGAGAGAGCACCAAATACTCTTTGGAACCACCAACAGAAAACCCACACAGAGGGACAGATTTGGTTTGATACCTCTAGAACTATCCATTGGGAAGAATTTCCCAATGTTGGGATGTATTTACATGTTAAAAATGCATAATGGAAATCAAAACATCTCAAAGGATACCAGTCACCGGTGTCCTAACCCCGGTTACAGGAGCTTCAGACTCTGTAAGCACCCAGAGAGGCATTACCCACACAGCAAAACATCAACCCAGCTCCTCACAGGTGGCCATTATGGCAAGGAATAAACCCAAACCAACCCTCCTGGCTTTAATAGCAGGGTCATTATACAAGATTGTCTGGATTTGCCCTTTTTATTCCAGTGTTTCCGTACTTTCTACACACCTATGTACAGAGTTAAATACGTCATTCATTTACAAGCCACGGTAAAACAAACGTCCCACTTTGCCAAACAAAATCCCACAGAGGTCCAAGATTTAAAATATATATTACAACAGCATCAGAAACTTCCTTTCCCTGAATGTGGACAATATTGCTTAAGGACTGGGATTCAGGATTCAGCAAAACCATCTCCTGGAACGGCCTCGCTCGACCGTTTTAATTACACCTTGTACAACACACAATTATCCCTGTTGACCACAGACCTGAACTGCAGGAGCAGGAGCACTGCCAGGAGTCTCCAGGGAAGGGATTCACTCTCTGGGCCCTAAATAGACAATATCCTCATTTGGGTCAGCCCCCTTTTGCAAGCACAGGAGCTTTACTTCAGAGACACAGCGAGGCCACGAGCCCAGACTGGAATTTGGGACAAGTAATTTTCAACAGAAAGCCCTGCAACCTGCTGCCAGGCTGGAAAGAAAAACCTGAGCTAAAGACCTGCCATGGTAAATGTGCAGTGCAAGCTTTCTATGAGAACTGTTGCAAAAAAGGTCTGGGTATGTTCTTTAAAAGGAAACCACCTAAATGTATTTAATAAAGGCTCTGATCTGTGGGGATTAGCTCCACGTTACAGCTGGGGTTGTATGAAGGTGGCACAGCAGCCAACACATGTACAGAAGAACTCATGTTAGCCCTGCACATCCCTGGGGTCCCAATGCTACTTTTTTTCTGGTATTTCACCCCCCCAGGGTGAAATGAAGTAGGGAAACAGGCATAAAGAACACAGTTCAGTTTGCAGGTGTCTAAGAGGTCACAACCAGCTTCCCTCGAAAGCAGCTGAACTTCAGCTCCTCTTGAAAATCTCAGCCTAAATCTCTCACCCTCAAATCAGTCTTTTGCAGAGTCAGCACCTAATCCAAATCCAGAGCCCACAAAATCCTTTTTACATGTATGTAAAAGCATCCACATATTGGGAAGTGAGCCTCAGAAATACACGTTTGGCACTTTCCCCCTATTAAAAAGAAACAATTATACATATTTTAATATTGGAACGGGCAGTTCTTTCACCTGAAAGAAAACTTTCCTCGTGACCTTGTTCACCTGGTTAGGGACAGATTTATTTAGATTTTCTAACCTAAAAGCCCAAGTTCTAAGCTACATGAACAGATTGGACTCCAGTCAAGGCAAGGAAGTTCTGCTCACACACAGTAGCAGCAAATTGAACCCATCTCTGAAGTTTCAGAAGGACCAATTCCTCTTTTGGACTGTATGGTGGAAGGCTGTTTATGTAACCACCACCCCAGCAGCCAAAAGAGTAAGATTCAGCTTGATTTTGCACTTTAAAAAATAAATTCTTTATTATCCAGAAAGGAGCCAAGTCATCATCTCACATCATGGAAATGGTCACCTTGTAAAGCAATAAATAAGAGGAGGGAGTGTTCTGTGTCACACCCTGAATTTTGTCACTGGTGTCTATTACCCCTCTAGTAAAAGCATAATAATTATGCTATCAAAGTCTCCCTGTACAACAGCTTGTCTGGGAAGGAAAGAAGGCCCCTAAAAATCTTTTGCTGAAGCAATACCAAAAATCTGATTCAGTGAAACCCAGGTTCAAAGTTGGGTTTCACTTCATTCAAAGGAATTTCACTCCATGCAGAAATGCAGTACCTGACACACACAATCACCTTGCCTAGAAATTAATTATGTTCATTTATACTGAATCAGCTCTTAACCATAAATCATCTGTTTACTGCTCATTCAAATAATTTCTCCTTAGTTTCCTATTCAAGCCAGGAGAGCTGCAGGAACAGCACAGGATACAAAATTTAACTTCTTTCAGCAGAAAGTGGAAGTCAGGCTAAATCCACACAGTTACTCCAACAGCAGTAATTAAGAAATTAAAAAAAAACCAAAACAATTAGGGGCTAAAAAGACTCAAGAAACAATTAAGAATTATGATTATTCAAACCAATGCATTCATAAGATATGAATCATATAAGACAGCACATTGTATGCTTAAAACTGAGAACAAAACACCTTACAGCTCTCAATCTCTAAAGCAACAAAAGAGTTTTGGAAGAACAGGTGTGAAGCAAGTAAAAAATAAAATCATATTATTCCAAACACTTTATTTGTGAAGGAGTTTCCTGCATGGCCAAGGAAGAGCAATGTCTGAAGTTACAGGACTTACATGATTCAGAAACAACTACGATTTTAAGCTTGGCTTGGTTGTTCTCTACAGCGACCGGGGCAACAGTGATATGGAGAACTGTTTCTCTGTGCCTGAAGCACAATTCTGGGGAAGATCCATCCTTCCACTGTCTGCTCCTTCAGAAACACTTCTGGTTTGTCCTCCAGGACTGAAGGCAGAGGCACGAGAGTAGTGAACACCCAGGTGGAGTTCCACGGATGCTGGAGATGAACTCAGGTTTACTTGTCTGCAGCTGAGACACCTCAGTCAATCCTCCTCAGACAAATCCTGATAACCAGAAATATGCTTCACTTCCACTTCTTTCCGAAAGCTTCATTAAAAGTATCATTAAAACATTATTAGAGAACAAATTAAAGGTGACGTTACCAGCGTGGAAACGAGATACTGGCCAGAATTCAGCTGTCAAGAGAATAACCAGCTGACAGACTTCGAAAGGAGCAGTGACAGATGTTCCACTCTGCAGTTACACACGAGCACCTCACCAGGATCTCTGCACAAGGTTTGGTTCCAGTCTCAGCTCTGGCTGCTCCACGTTTAAAGCTCTGCCCAGCAGCAGCTGCAGGTTTGTGCCGCTCCCCTACACACACAACTGCCCTGCTGCCAAACACACAGTAAATGGCTTTGTGACATTCATGGATGTACTGACAGTCTCTGATAATGCTGGGGACACTTTGACCTCACAGTCTGTACCTGCCTGCCAGGACTCTAGATATCAAAACGGTTCAGGTTGTAGGTGGTGGGGTAGCTCTGCCGGCCGTACTGGAAGTGGTCTGTGAGGACGTTGGTCCGGCCGTACTGAAGGTCTCCGTGCTGGGCGAACCCTGTCAGTCCGTTCTGAGACTTCTCAGGAGGGTTTCGGTGCCGTTCCAAATTCACAAGGTCTCCAGTTGTGACGGGAAGCAGCTGCTTCTTTGCTTCTTGGTTTGCATCATATTTTGTCTGGGAAAGGGAGAAGGAATGTTTTTCACGGAATCACTAAGGTTGGAAAAGAACTCCGAGACCGTCGAGTCCAATCTGTGCTCGGTCCCCACCTTGTCACCCAGCCCTGAGCACTGAGTGCCACGTCCAGTTGTTCCCTGGGCACCTCCAGGGGTGGGGACTCCACCACCTCCCTGGGCAGCCCCTTCCAATATCTAACAACCCCCTCCATGGAGACAGCCTTTTTTTAAATACCACCTGACATACTCATACACCCCAAAAAAAGCAAACAATTAATCTACAAATAATTCTACAATTAATCACTCTCTATGCCTGTTAAGAGTCTTAAAATATTAATAGCTTCTAATAAAACCCTAATTCCTCTCACATGCTAAATGAACACAAGCTGCTCTTTTGCTCAAAAGGCTTGAGTTACTTCCCAATCTTCCCTTTTCAAGAAAACATGAAGATCAAAATTGAAGTTTGTGAGAGACCCAAGCACACAAGTCCTTCGCTTGGGCCACACCCTGCAATGGAGCTTTACGCCCCATGCTCCACATTTTTGTGCCATTTTTGTTGTACAAAAAATAATTCAAAGCTACTGGAGTGTTCCAACTGCATTTCCTGAGTAAACCAAGCAGCCCCTCACCTTGTTGTACAAGAAGACCCCGAGGATGGCCGTCATCATCCCCAGGACGTTGGTGCTCGTGACGGGGTTGCGCAGCATGATGAGGGACACCGTGATCACCATGATCCTCTTCGTGGCGTTGGCCACAGAGTAACTGAGGGGGCTGATCAGGTTGAGGATACTGAAGGCAATGACGTTCTGGGCAAAGTTACAGAACCCACTGATTACAAGCAGCATCAAGGTCCAGGACCAATGAGACATCGAGCTCTGCGTGAAAGCAAACAGGAGGAGAAAAAAATTATCTCAGGTTTCAGGTAACAACCCAAACACAACCTGAGGCACTTCGTACCTGCCACTGGCAGGAGGGATATCTCAGCTTCACTCTAAAGGGGCCCCAAGCACGACCACTGTGCAAGTACCAACTCGGAGAACCCAGAGGATGTACCTGCCCCACACATTCGGGAGCCTTTGTTCCCATCTCCAGCTCCCAGGATTCCCACTGTTCCCATAAGCTGCCTCTCCTAACCCTGACAGGAATTCTCAGGATAAACACTGTGTACATTGTTTGTGAAACAACCTGCAGGTGTTTCACAACATTTCCTTCCCTGCTGATAAGGAACTACACTGAAACACTTTAGTGCACTTTTTTGGTTGGGCGGTGGCGTTTCTTGTTGGGTTCTATTTACTTTACTGAACTCCTTTCTTAATAGCAAACAGTTCCTCCTCCCAAATACGACACTTACCAAGTCATTCTCCACTAGGAAGGAAGAAAGATCTACCAAAACCCACGTTGGGATCATGAAGAACACAGCATGGCACCCGAGGATGTTCAGCAACCGAAGATGATGGATTCGGGAATCTCTTAACACCTGACAAAAGCCATTATTGAACAGCAGTAAAGACACAGCAACAGCTTTAGGTGACAGATAAATTAGAAAAATAAGCAAATACTGTCAGAGTATGAATTTCTTATAAGCCTGACCAAAGAAAAACAGATGTCCATTTGAAAAAAATATGCTTTTTTGAGTGGTGACTCTTGGTATCAATAAGATATTAATATATTTTAAAAGCTCTACAAACCAGAAATCATTTTGTAACTAACTAGAGCCAAGACACACATTTTAATTTTGTTTCTAAGATTTCAAGGAGGGCCCAGTGTTGACACTGAGTGGTTCACTACAGAGAAAAGATTTGATACAAGATACATTAAAAGCCTTCAAATGAACTGTAAAATTTAAGCACTACTGAACTGTCAGTAGAAAAAAAAAATATCCATGATGAGGAGTAAAGAAAAGGCTCAGGATAAACTCTGAGTTCTGCACAATTTTCAGCTTCAACAGGTAGGAAGAGCTGCAGGAACATGCACACGAAACAGCAACCATCCCTTTGGGCTCCTTTGACTGTAAAATCAACTAAAAATATATATATGTGTACTTGCAAGTGCATACTGTCTGCTAAAGAATGATGCCACTGAGCAACACTATGAAGAGCAGAAGTGTTACCTTCTTTGAGAAGATGTTCTGAAGGGAAAAGCACAGAGTAGCAGCAAGTGCACTGATGAGTCCCCACATGTCAAAGGAAAGCTCTGTGACAGTGGCCAACAGGACACCAGTGATGATGGGGATCAGAGACAGGTACACCTGGGAGAGGAAGAGAGGAGTACCTTGCATCTTCTAAGAACTTTAATTTCAACTCAGTTTATACATCCTGATGATTTAGGGGGGAAAGGAGAAGGATGAATAAAGCAACAGAACCAGGGATCAACTTTTATACTACTGTAGCTCAAGGAAATTAAGTAACTAAAATAGACACTATAGAGCATCACCTTGCTCAGTGTTCACGATTTATGTTCTTAATAAAAGGAAAAGGAACTTGAAAATCTGCATAATCTAATTCCAGTCACAAACCCCACCCAGCTACCCAAAGCCCGAGCTCTGCTGCCCCTGCCAGCACAGCACACCTCAAACAGCACCAAGAGAAGAAACCTCAGCAAACCTGTCCGCACCTTCGTCGTCTGCTTTTCCTTCATGATGATCCGCGAGAGGAGAACCACCCAAATCGGCATCGTGGCTTTCACTGGGGACGGGAGGAAAACATCCATGGGGACACCCTGGGCCATGCTGGGATATCCCTCCCTGTCACCCTGCTGGGCACTGCTACCAACACAGGCTGGGGCTTGGGGCTCTGGGACACTGTGCTGGGCACCCACAGGAGCACACACCAGGTCCTGGATCCTGGATCTGGCACCAGCACCCACCGAGGACCAGGACACGGCACTGGGCACCCACTGGGAAACGACAGGAGCACCCAGCGGGTACTGGGACACCTCACTGGGCACTCGAATAAGTACACACGGGGCTTCAGGTCACCGCACCCGGATCTGGTACCAGCACACTCTGGGTACTGGGACACTGCCCTGGGCACCGACATGAACACACACGGGGCTTCAGGTCACCACGCTGGGCACCAGTACAAGCAAATGCAGGGCCCCAGGACACCCCCCCGGGCATCCCCCCGAGGACAAGGCACCCCCCGGGCACCGCCCGCCCCTCGATCCTCACCCGTGTGCGCGTAGGACACCGGGACCCTCCAGAGCGAGACGTGCGCGGACACGGAGGCGAAATACTTCCCGAAGGCGAGCGGGAGGATGTACCGCGGGTACGCGCGGGGCGGCAGCTGCGCGGGGCCGGCGGGCGGGACCCTCCAGGCGCGGAGCAGCGGCGGCAGGAGCCCGCAGAGCCCCAGGATGTGGAACAGCGAGACGGTGACGGGCCGGGGGAAGCCGCCGAGCAGCAGCTTGTTGACCACGTTGCCGCCGGCGCTGAGCCCGTACCAGGCGAGGCACAGCGCGGACACCCGCGCCCCCTCCCGCAGCGCCGGCCCGCGCCCGCCCCGCGCCCCCCCGGCCCCGGCCCCGGGCCCGGCGGGAGCCGCCAGCGGGGCCGCCATCGCTGCGGAGCCGCCGAACGTCAGCGCCGCCAGCGCGTCGCTTCCTGGGGCGGGGCGGGCGCGGGGCCCCGGCGGGGCCGCGGCAGCGCCGTCATTTCCTCCGCACCTGCCCCGCGGCCCCGCCGCGCTCCCCCCGCGCCCCGCCGGCCCCCCGGCCCCCCGCGCATCCCCCCCGCGCCCCGCAGCCCCGGCCCCGCAACCCGGGGGGGTCGAGCCCCGGGAGGGCCCCGAGGGGTTATAATGACCCGCGGGACACAAAACCGCATGGAAAGCCCCGCTGGGAGGTGGTTTTCCCAGCGCTGCCGAGCCCGGCCCGTGTGACAGCGAGAGGCGCGGGGCAGGGACGGAGCGAAGGTCACGGGCTGGGAGCCACCGGGACAGTCGCTGCTGACCTTTAAAACTAACTCCGGGAACACGTAACGCCGGCTGGGGGAAAGGATGGGTGAGTACCTGGCAGGCAGGAGGGCTTCTAGAGCCCGGCTCATCCACGCACTCTGTCAAAAGACGTTTTTTGCAGCGTTAATACCGATAAAAACATGCACTTCAGGTAATGGCGATTCCCAGAAGGTTTGCTGATGAGCCATTTCGTGTCATCCACTGACAAGAAAGAAATGGCAGCGTATTAACTTCAGGTTTTAGGATTAGAAGGATAAATTTTGCGAGAGAGGGAGGAGAAAGCAGGAGCAGAGTAACTGAGTCAGGCACAAATGAGAGTCCACAGCAGGTACGCACATGGTAAACTTCATTTGAACTTGTTTACAAAATTGACAAAAAAATATCACCTTGTAAACTTATTCACATTTGTTGGAGCTCACAGAACTGGTTATACTGGCATGCTGAAATAAAGATTGTCAAGCCTCGTCTCACCCTGGATGACACCAAGTGAGTTGACCTTTTAACAGCAGCAACAAACTCGGCATGGAACAAGATTTAAAGCTTGCACTGGGAAGGAGTTTCTCCAGCAGTTTTGTACCACAGGGAAAGGGCCAGGTCTGATTCCTGATGCTCCCTCAAGCAACTGAGCACCAGCAGTTCGTTGGATATAATCTGAAAGCTGTGATGAACTTCGGGCATCACCTCACCCAGTGTGGTCCTCGAGGGCCATCAACTGCATCAGAAATGGAAGCAGTGGAGAAAAAGATGGAGTTTTATCAAGTGTAATGCAATATTTTGTCATTTCCTGAAGTTTGCCCTCTAGTCAAAGGCCTCAAAAGAGCACAGACCCTGTTCCTAAATGGGATCATTCAGGGAAGGAGGGAGGAGGGGCAGAGGGAGATAAGATGCACAGTATTTTTTTACATAAACAAAACTCAAGCATTTCCAAAGTGACCAGCAGCTCATCCCTCTACCACCAAATCTACCACTCAGAACTGCAAGACAGGAGCTTTCCCCAACTCCAAACCACACTGGCTCCACCTCACCAACTGCAGAACAACAAAATGGAAGTAAACTGAAAATATACTTGGAAGCATTTTTTGGTAACCACTTTTCACTCCCAGACCTCAGATTTCAGAAATGGAAGCACAGAGACATCAGCTTTCTGAGACACCCACACATTTCAGTAGCAGTCAGATCACAAAAGCAGTAGGTTTGAACAAGAATGACATAAAAATAAACCAAACCTCATCAGTTGTATTCCAGGGAATGAACCAACTTAATGTGGTCAGAAGCACCCTTCTGTGAAACCCAGGGAAGAGCCTGACTCTGCTCTCAGAGGCAGGAGAGCTCTTGCCAGGGCTCTTCTCCAGCACAAACGGGTTAACAGCATGAACATCACTAAACCTGGCAATATTTTTGGTATAGTGTCCCCTCCCCTGTTCCCCTGGACAGAAGCCCAGCACTGGGGACTGCAGAAAACAGCCAGTCCCAAATGTTAAAGCAATTACAGGTATTAAAATCCTTCACTCTCTACACCCAGGCTGCTTTAGAAAGCACTGTAACAGCGAGGAATAAAATATTACAAAGTTACCGAAACAAGAAAATGAACTCTGGTTCCTTTAGACTTTGAGGTACATTAACAGCAATTGGGTTATCAGTCTCCAGAGTTAAATAAACAAAATCTAACCTGTGTGACTGAACACCACCAAGGTACTTGGAAGACATCCCATATATCCCTAAGAGCTGCTCTCAGCAGTGTCCGTGGCATTTGGCTTCACCAAACTGCTCCAACGGATTCCTGGGGTCAAGGGTCCCTTGGCTGGGCTGAACTGAGCAAACTTGGGGGGGTGGAGGGAGGGAAACGAGTGAAATATAAATAATTCACAAACCGTTTTGTGCAAATTTTTTTTATTTCCACATTTATATCACAACGTGTCCACTTAAAGGACCAAATAGCAAAGTTGCTCCCTTCTGCATCCCAGGAACACAGAAGTCTAGTTACTGTACATTCACTAAGGCTCTTTGTTTTTGCAAATTGCGTTTATGATGGATATCCATAAGGCAAACAATATCTAAAGGAATGGTAACAAGTATATTTCCAGCATACAAACAGGCTTCCTTTTTCCCTCTCACAGTACAGTTACAAACTTGTAGCACCCTCATTACATTTAGATTCTAGAAAAGGTGATTTTTCTTTTTATTTTTTTTTGTCCTTTTTTTTTTTTTTTTTTTTTTTTTTTTTTACCTAGAAGTTTGCAGGAAGGGAAAAGGAGGAAAAATATTTGGCTGGTGGTGGTGGGATCAAAAAATATCGTTAAACATCTAGTTTTTGCAGCATTTCTCAGAGACTGGATTTAAACTGAAACCAGACTAAAGGATGTGGATGCCTATGGAATGTTGAGCTGAAGCTGGAGGCCCAGCCTGCAGTGCAACACCTGCTGTTTAAAACCCAATCTCCGTTTACCACATGACTTTCGACCAACGCAATCATGTTCAGAGATGTGATAGAAATAAAACTACAGTTTTTGCACATTGTCTCTCGAATATCTCACTGCCAAATAAAAAAAAAAAAAAAAAACCAAATCAAGTCAAATAAATAGATGCATATTTTGTTAAGGTAACTTCCACAATTTTCTCTGTACCTGCCTGTACTAAGATTCCGGCATTCAGAAAGTGCTGGAAATCCTCTTCACTTCTTGGGGGACTAACACTTTTTATAGCTGGCTGGCTAGAGAGTTTTGAACTCACTGATCAACCTTCGTATGCCTTCCTTTGCAATTGTTAGTAAACTGGTAGCAGCATTTCACAAAAGGAGAATTTAAAGGAACGAGCTGGAAAGGCCCAGCTCCCTCCCCCCCTCTGCTCGTGGGGCCTGTTTGTCCAGGACAGGAGGTTCTCTCCAGCTGGAAGTGGCATCGTGTCTGCCAGTTTTTGCCAACTGCAGGTGTAAAAAAAAAAAAAAGCAGGGTTTCAGCAAAAACCTGCTCTCAGTCTAGGCAGACGTAAGGCAGGATGTTCAACCTCCCATCATCCCCGTGTGGATCTAAGGATATGCACTGTGTCCAATCATACCAGTTACCCTGTGTGTCATAACAACCGTTCACGCCCGGCCAGTTGTGGTCACGTATCCTGTCGAGGTCATCGCTCGTGACCTCCCTGGTGACCCCAGGCAAGTCTGTAGGTTTGCTGTTAGGAGCTAGAACGTGAGTCTTTCTAGCCTCTTTTCTAGTGCTTTCCTCCTGCTTTAAATACTCAGACATGAAGTAGTGAGCTCCTGGAGTCTGTACTCCTGATGAGGACAGCAAGCTACTCTGTCTGTTTAAATATGACTGAATGATTTCATTTCTGGATAACTCTTTCCAGTTCGTTTGTTCAAAAGGGCTTTGCAGGTTGGGTTTTTGCTCCTGCTTTTCCGTTTCTGTCCTGTGCTGTTCAGTAAGTGCAGGGATTTCTACCTGCAAAGGATCTTTCGGTGTTAAAGGTTTTATCTGTCCTGTCATGGGATCAAAAGTGAGTTTTCTCTCTTTTAACCTCACAGGTTTCACACCCCCTTCTGTCACGTGCCCATCCAAGTTGACTGTGTAGTCTCTGGGTCGGTACCTTTTCTTCTTTTTACTATCAGACCCTGAAGCAGCATCGTCACTGTCCATTTTGGAAGTGTCCTGTGGGAAGCCCACGTGTGGCAGGAGCGAGTCCCCGGGGTGGGCGCCAGCCTTGCAGGTAGGAGATGTGTGGAGGGGCCCCGCTGGGTGCCTGTGTCCCTCAGGAGGGACCTGCTGCTCCTGCCAGTGCTGCAGGACCTCGGCGGCCGAGGGCTGGGGGAGCTCCAGTCTCTTGGCTGGCAGTGGAGGTGTGGGTGGTTGCATCAGGGATGGTGGTGGCGATGGCACCTGTGCAGTGTCTAAGAACTGAGACCTCTGAGATGGACTGGGCATCGAATCCTTTGGTGAGTACGTGCTGTGCTGCCGAGCAAAAGTATCCTGCCTGACATTCCTGGGGCTAAAGGAGGAGCAGCGAGGGCTCTTGGGCTGGTGAGGGCCCGTGGTCTCTTCTGATTTATCATGCTGCTGAAGCACCGCAGTCTTTAGCAACGAGGAAGTGCTTGAAGGTTTTACAAGTCCTGGAGAACTGGTGTGAGGTTTTACAGCATTTACTGGGATCTTACTGTGTTTATCGTTTTCACTGAGTTCTGTCCTGCTGCTCTCGGGCCCCGCCTGTAGATTTACGTCTACAGGGCTGGGAAAATTTTCAGGACTACCTCCAATTCCGTTTGTTGGAGGGGGTGAAGAGTTTTGTAATACTTCATGACTAGCTTTGGAGACTTTTGGGGGAGGAGGGCCCTGCTGCCCATCCCTGTGATCGCCTTTCCTTTTCCGATTTCCCAGTTTCTCTGGTTTGGGAGAATTCAGTTTCTGTATGTCATTCCTGCTTTTCAGCTCGCTGATGGGCTTCGCTCCAGCCACAGCAGGAAGTTGTGTCTCTGGTTTGCAGTTGTGAGCACCTCCATTCGCTGATCCAGGTGGATTGGGGAGCCCTCTTGGCACTGGGTCGTTCTGGGTCACGGGTTCTATCAACTTCTGCCAATTCCGCAACAATTTCTTGGCACGTTTGGCAAGTTCCTCATTGGATGTCTTCTTCCTCACCTCATTGATGAGCCTCCCGAGCCTTGTTTCCTACAAAGACAGACAAGTTGTTTTACAAACAGGTATCACCATCCCAAGAAAAACCCTTAAAGGAACGTTTCTGCTTTTGCTCACCCTGAGAAATACCTGGTTAAAGACACTAAAGATTTAAGTGTTGAATTAATCTTTTTGGAAGGGATCAGTCCAGCGCTCGGCCACTCAACATGAAACCAGCTGTGGGTTTCAAGCCTTTATTCCCTGAGCTGGGAAAAAACATCAGAAAGGAATTCTTTAATGAGAAGGAACATTGAGAATAAAGGTGTGGGTTCAGATGCAGCACCCAAAAGGTTTGTGTTTACCACAGCGAAAGTCTAAGATCTGCAGAAGGAGCCAAGAGAACAGAATTCCAGGGTCTTTGCCTGTTACAGTAACAATTAACAATAAAAATGTCCATTTGACAAAGCTGACTGCTAGGTGTGACATGTCCTACCTTCCTCCTCCACCTCTCCTCTCCCTTCACTCCCCAGTATCTTGGAAACACATGGAAGAGCCATTTAAACAAATTCCTGGGGTGTCCCAGAGTGGTTTTGTGAGCGGAAGGAAGTGAAGTGTTTGATTGTTCCCAAAGCATGTTTGAAAACAAAGAATTGTTCCACAAGTCAGATTACTTAAGAAAAGGACTTCAAAGGAGAACACAGACCAGCCTGTGAGAGAAATATGCAACCTGTTGGGATACATATGTTGAAATAACAGGTGGAGTTGTAATTAAGCAACAGTTAAAAGCAAGAACACCGCTAATTTCAATACAAAGGGTGAAAAAAAAATATAAATCAGCCATAAAACTTCTTTGGGCTGTTTCTACGAGTGGCCAGTGAGACTGCAGCTCTCCCACACCTGCTCTCACCAAAAAGATCAGGTATTGAAACCTACCTAAATGAATTTTAGATTGATTTTAAAGACACACAGCAACTATATTCCTATTTCAGATTTCTGGTGCTTGGTCACCAAACATCTACGAAGGTGACCAAAACTGCAGAGTCATATTGCTGAAGGCACCCAAATTCATCAGTGGCAAGTGATGATTAATGTAGTGCCCTGCACAAACAGGAACTGTGCTGCCCAGAATACTGATCTGGCCCAGAAAGGATCCCTGTGTTCAGCGAGATGTCGGAAGCAGCACGAGAGGGACAAAATAATATCTTAATTGTGAATCCTTTGCAATCCATCTATTGTTTCCAGAAAAGCTCCAATGGAAATTAGAAAGGCAGAGAAAGTCCTTTTATACACACAAAAATCATGTTCAGAGCGTGACATACCTCAAGTGCCTCTTTGGTAATGGGATATTTCTCCAGGCTGGAGATCACTTCCAGCACTGCCACCATGTTATGGATCTGCAACAAGGAACACAAAGTCACTTCATGTTTCATGTACAGGTCTTAGTTATCAAATGTAATTTAAGACCTTCCACTTTATAATTGCTGGGAGCCTTAATCACAAACTGCTATCAGACTGTCTGGCTTTGGGGAGCTGATTGTTCAAGAAATAGGGACAAGGACACTTTACTGACCTAGTTGGAAGCTGCAGGAGCTGTAACAAACACACTCTTATGTAAAACTCAAGGAAACATTTGCAATTAAACAGCTGTGACTTAGCAGCAAAGTTCTGAGACCCCTGGGCAAAGCATCAGTTAATTGTCCTAACGGGAAACAAGTGCCCAGCAGACCAAGAGCAGCAGCCACTCCAGTGGCAAATCTGGATTTTTTTTTAGGCACCGCTTCAGATTTACAGAAGTCAGCATTGTACAGTTTTATTCACGATATTGCTGCTTCCTGTGGCTGCACACCAAGAGTCTCCAGAGGCTCCTGGGGCTGGGGCTGTGCCCAGTAGGTGTCCCCAGACCATTGTCCAGACCGGCCGCGGCTCCTCCGGCCACTCCAACCCCCCCGGGACCCCCGTGCTGGGGGGGGAACACGGGGAGGAGGAACTGCACAAACCCACAAAACTCACATTTAAAAAGTGAGCCTCAAGTTCTCTCATGGGCTGCACTGCAGCATTTCAGCACCACCAGTGAGCTGCACACAGACACAGTTCCCCCAGTCTGAACATCCCCAGCACACGCGTGATTTTAATCATTTTAATAATTTCCACAAGGAACCCCAGATCCACGTTTTAGGGACATGGTTTAGGGGTGAACTCGGTAATCTTAGAGAGCTTTTCCAACCTAAACGAGTTTAGGATCCTACACAGAGATCCCTAATTTCCATTACCTGATGTTACAAGCACCGAAACTTGGAATTTCTAATTCACCTTTGGAGGCAGATTTAAAAGATAAGCACAGGGAAACTTGAATCACAGTCTCATTTATTGCTTAATTGCATTTGTGACTCAACTGGACATGAAGTGCACGTGAGAAAAACCTCTCAGCAAGAACCTCTGCAGGGATCCCACATCACCCTGAAGCCTGAGCAGGAGCATCACCAGCAGCTCTGCCCTCCCAGCCACACTCCCCTGCAGGATTCTTCATTTTAAAAAGACTGAACTTTGTAAGAATTGGCTTTTTCGAGTCAGTTCTACCCTTCCCTTAGGATACAACAGAAAAACCAGGAGCTGAAGTCTCTTTCTTTCAGGAAATCTTGGGCATAGATCATGTTCTGTCCACCCCAGCAGAACTGTTTAATGCTGAGGGTACCTGGATAAACCTTCCCTGATTTTCTGATTTATTTATCAAACTTATGTTTAAAAGTCTAAACAGGCTTTGAATGATTCTAACTCTTACAGGCTGTGAAACCAACTGCAGGCCAAAGATTAATCAATTTGTCCTGGTTCTTTCTTCACTGAACTACGTTGTCTCTGCAGATATTTACAGCCCTATCATGAGGTCAGCTCTGCTAAAACTCTGCTTAACCTTTAGAGCAGCAATAGCACCTATTCTGACATATTTTAGTTTTCACTATTTCACTTCAGTGCACTGACTTTCATCCATGTTTTGATCCTTGCCCTGCCCTCAGTGCTCAGGAAGCACAGTTTAACACCACAGTTTAACTAATATATAATACCAGGGTTGGGTTTTTTTTTCAGTTTCTAGCACCAGAGCCCTTAGAATAGTTAATGCTCAATTCTGGGACTTTCCAGACACATTTTTAAACTTGTAAAACATGATAACTCTCCTTCCCAACACAGATTTTAGACTCTGAACTACCAGGGTGCAGAAGGCTCTGCATTGCAAACACCAGTAATTGGTACAACGATTTTTGCAGTTACTGGTAATCCCCAAATATTCATTATCTAAATGACAAACTGATGGCAAAAAAAAGGATTGTCAGCCTATCAGGAAGGGGAAAGGGATGTTGTGTGTGCACACACCTACAGAAAGATGAAAACTGGTCAGGGAATTTCCAGTAACAGCTTTGCTTTTGTTCAACACACCCAAACACACACGACTGGATCCCCCAAATGGTAAATCATCTCCCAGGGCCGGGTCTACACCAGGACTGCCAGCCTGGGACTTCCCTCCCTCTTCTGGGGACACGTGGTGCCAATTAAGGACAGTGAAAGTGGCTTTACAGCACCCAACTCCTGCTAAAACACAAACCACCCGTTTGGGATTCCTCACACATTTGTCACCAATTCAGAGCAGGAAGGCTCCCAACATCTCACACTTCCAGCAAGAAGCTCCCCTCATTTTCCCTTTTTTCACCTATAGGAAAGTTTGGTTCTTTAAAAATAAATAAATACAATGTTCAGGCAGGTTCAACAACTTCTTCCCCCTTCCCCAGTAGTTTCCTTGGAATGTTTCAATGAAACTATCATAAAGAGAAGTTTATAATGAGAATCAAATTGCCTGTTTTAAAATAACACAGACTATGAAGTTTTTTGGGGTACAGTTAAACAGCAATGGAAACAAGATGACCTCCCAAAACACTTCAAGTGTCACCCATTCCATGAGAAGACACCTGTTGGGATAACAGCAATATTGCACACCAGCATCTTTACCTTAAACCATCTGTCACTGGCTTAATAAAATTCATATCTGTCACATAACCAACATGAGACTGACTCTACAAAACCTACCAGGACCCTCCTATTTTGAGCAGCACCAGAAATGCTGATTTATTAATACAAAGGGCTATTAAAGATGCTTATTGGATACACAACCAAGTTCCACAGAGCAGAGTGGGACAGGGAATTTTGGCAGCCTGGCTCTCCAGACACCTGTCAGGAGTGTAACTGCACCACTCAGTGCCTCAAGAACTTGCATTTTAGTTTCTACCTGCCTTTGTCTGCTTGCACTGCAGCCCTTAGCACCCCCCAAAACAACAACTGCCATGAAGCAACCCCAGGACCTGCATTTGGGAGCTGTCAGGAACCAGCTCAGAATAATTTACAGTGTTCCAAAGATCCCGAGCTGTTCCCGTGCTGGGAGCACTGACTGGCACAGACCAATTCACTCCAAAGTTTAGAGCAGAACATCTGCTTTGAGTCATCTGTGATAATCCCTTCCAGCCAACCCTAATGACAGCCACAGAAAACAAATCTTATTTATTCCATGCAAGGCTCCTTAAGTCATCCAGCCATTCAGCCACACTCAGGAGCTTTACTACTGCTATCCAAGATCTTTTCCAAGTTAAGCACTAAATGTTTTTACTCCAGCCTCAGAAAAAAGCAGGGGTTGCTGAACTCTCTGGAAAAGATCAAACAGCTTAATTTCCTTTTCTTAACTGCCATCTTAATCCTATTTTAGCATTTATAAACCAGGACTGATTCAGTAACCAACTTCAGGGGAAGTGTTACCCAGCAGTTTAAGGGGGGGAGTTGGGAAGTTTGAGGTACAGCTGCTCCCTCCCACCTCCAATTCCAGTGACACCTTCCCAAGGAGATCTGAAAACAGCAGCAAGCTCAGCATCCACACGAGCTGCATCACCATTTCCACATGCTGGGATGTGTTTTCTGTTGGACCAGCACACTCCACGTCATGTTTTGATTCTCTTCCTTCACCTCCACACCAGTCCAGATCCCAAACACAACAGGAACACCCATGTAACACCTCCCTGCCTTCCCCAGGACTGCCTGGACACAGCACAACCTGCACTCCCTCCACTGCTGCCTGAGAAACAAAGGTTACACAAACTTTCTACTGCAGTCATTTGGATAAAGCAATTTTAAGTTTTGGTTGGTTTTTTTTGGTTTGGTTGTTTTATTTTTATTTTTTTTTTACATTTCACAGGGATGTTTCTAAAGATTTCTGCATGCACAACTGTATGAGATCTGAGTTAGGAAAGATGAGATACTTAGTTAGGCCTGGAGTAGAAGGAGCAGCTATTTCTGTGTAACAGGAAAACATTGGTGCACAATCACAAAAAACCTGCAGTGAAACTGCTAATGCAGTTCCCTGCCCACTGTGTTCTGGTAGAAAGGCACTTTTGCATCACAAAGGTCACATAACAATGCTAAAAGGCACCTTTTGATACAGTATCATCGACCACCTGGGGCACATCAGCACCTTTACAAGTTTTTAAAGGGTATTTAAATTTGGTCTGCTAAGCCCAGAGTCCCCCACCAGTGACACTCTGCTAAAACCAAAGTGTAACACCATCATCCTCCTGAAATCACAGGTTAAATAATCAATAACCTGACTCCACTGTGGGCCAGGTGAAACAGAGCTCACAGGGCTCACAACACGCTGGCTTGGAGAGAAAGTATTTGCCACCATACTTCAACTTACTTACTCAAAATATCTATAAATACTCCACATGTTGCTGGTTTCAAAGAAGGTACTTTGGCATCATTGTCCCACCTGTAGCATCAAAGCACAGAAGCAAGAAGTCCAAGCTGGAGTTTTCTGTTGCCAGTCAATACAAGGAGGGTCGAGACAGTTCACAGGAGCATTTGTACAGTTTTTGTTGTCCTCCCCCTGCCCCTGGGGCCGGCAGCACTTCACGGAGGAGTGACCAAACGGTCACAGAACACAGGGCTGGGTACATCCTCAGGAAAACGTTCAAGAAAATCCTGGGTTCAGGGTGGATCTTGCTGAAATGGCCACGGAGGCAGAACTGATTCCAAGGAGGTGCAGTGCCCACTATTCCAAGGAGGTGCAGCACCTGCTGGTATTCCTTCTTTTCGGAGCTCTCGGCGTCACCTGCAGCCAAGCACCAACTCCTCGCCCACACTGGGGTCCCCCATCAGTGCCACATCTTCCCCCCAGCACTGCTTTGGTATAAAAGCTACTTCACTGCATAATAATCTAAAATATGGAATAATAAGAAGAGAAAAGTTGCTGTTTCACAGGAGGCTTTATTTGACCGTGGCAATGGAAACACAGCGGTGCAGGGTTTATTCACCTCACAGGTAACAAGATAATCAGACACTGACAACACACACCATCAGCAGGAAACTGGAATGTCATTTTTTTCAAAGATACA